ACTAACATTATAACATTTCAGGTTAGTTACTCAATAAGTAAAATCAATAATTACAACAAAATGCCAATTATTATTTACCTGTAATGTGCAAACCAGGGCCAAACACACCAATAAGCCCTTTCGATGAGGCATTAATAAGCAATGCCAACTGCAAACAGCAGTCCCACAACTGCAAAATGCAGAAAGTAGCAATCAGATTTCATATAGCCTGCAGCAGCTGATTTGTTCCACTCTGTCGTCCTGGTACGGCTCTCCAAGTTCCAGCAGAGACAAGGGTACTGCTGCTGGTGAGTCTCTTCCCCTAAGCCCTGAGTATTCCAACTGATATTTTCATATAAAATTACTCCACAAGAGCCATGTGCCAATATAGATAATACTTAAGCTTGGTCTTTCATTAGGCCCAAGAAATGCATACATTTGTGGCTTTCCATACCAAAATAACCTTCATTTATCGCTAGGATGAGAAATGCTTCTCCAGTGTCCAGCTGAAGCACGTATTTCCAACCTCTTTCATTTAAATAAGAAAAAGTTTAAATGAAATTACTATGTGGAATATTTGTATCAGTTTTTCAGTATCTTCAGGCAGTTCTTACATTTTATTTTCATTTGGATCCCAGATCCGCCTTCCTTTAAGAAAAGGGCTCTGCTCACAGTGGTTGCTTCTGCCCAAGTTTTAGGAATCCAGGGCGCTGGCGGCAGGTAACTATGGTCAGGACACTGGGACCAGGGTGCAGATGCAGGGTGGAGGGTTCGCGTTTAGGGTTTAGAGGGCCAGAGGGAGAAGCAAGTCTTTGAACTGCCAGGCTCAAGAGCCACTAAGACAATAAGATTCAGGCAAATGCACAGTCCAAAGGTCCAAGTACTGGAAATACCATCACATTCTAGAACAAGTGTAGTTAGGAAGGGTGGCTGCAGGTACCTGGTTAGACAGGGCCGGGCTGGAGACAAGGATGGAAGCGGGCAAGTGCAAGGATTCAGGAGAGGTGATGCCAGAAACCAGAGCGCAAAGTAGGCACCGGGACACCTCGTGCTGCTGTGGTGAGGAGCGGCAGCGCAGTGAAGCAGCTCTCCAGGGCTTCCAGCTCACTGTCTAATAGCCCCACAGCTGTTCCCTGCAAGCACCCAAAGAGGCGTTCCTGGTTCTGCAGGCACTTGCAGGGTGAGCCAGGCTCTGATGCTAACACAGGCCTCATCCAGTCCCTACCCACATGCATATAGGCTGTGCTCACACAACAAAAAAGCAACCCTGCATGGTTACCATAATTTGTGTGTGTGTGTGTGGCAGGGGGGCGGTGGGTGTTTGCTTTCTATCTGATCTTCCTGTCAGATGATCACGTGGTTTCTGTTGTGGCTTCCATCCCCCTCGCTCAGTCTTCCCATTGGTGTCATGTATCCCATCAACCACTGTGCCTGAAATTCTCTCCTATCGGGCCTCACTCTCTGCCTGTGCCTTGCCTCTTCCTCAGTGGTCCACACACAGAGGTTGCTGTGGTGTTTTCAGAAAGCCAGAGCATTCCAGCTATTCCCAATCTTTCCCCACATTCCAAGGAAGCTCTGGTACAATACCTTGATGGTTAGTGGGGAGCGGCAGATTCACAGGCATGCAAGGAAAACAGCAACATGCAAGATTTTAAAAGAGTCATCCCTATCAGACTGCATTACATGTGTGTGTGTGTGTGTGTCAGTGTCACATGCCTCCATATTTCATGCCATGACTACAGCACCTATGTTAACCCCTGTGCTCATAGCTACTTTCAAGGTGTGAGAAACAATCTAGGGGTGTCTTCTGGCTTTTACACCTGTACATCCAAATTTCATGTGACCAGAGGTACGGCTGTAAAGCCATCTTTTGTTTTTTTACATTTCACAAACTTTCCGAATCCTAAATTGTCTGAATATGGTTACTGTAAGCGATAAAGCAATTAGCCATGTTGATTTTCAGGACATACTGATCTTTTAATTCTTCCATATAATGTACTGTGTGATGTTTTAAGCAAAAGAATCTGAGCGATCTCTACATGAGAATGGCATCAATTGCGCATCCTCCAGATTGCCAGGAGTGAACAAGCACATGGGTGGCCACCCCACCCCAACAAGCAGCCGTGCATTGGTGTGAAGGGAGCCATAATCAACTGAAAATCAGCTCATAAAATAAAGCTCCCCATGGGATTATCCCTTATTCAGTACGGTTATGATCACTGGGCTTCCATCAACACAGTCATTCACTCATGTGCTTAGCCCATCATTCATTATCTCCTCTGCAATGATAGAGCCACTCAGTGGAGAGCTAGAAGAAAGGAGCTGGGTCTTGTTGAATGAAATTTCTGGGCTCCTATCAACTTATATTAGGTAAAATGATTGGATGCATATGTGTAATTAATTAGCAAGGAAATGGGGAATTATTTTAAATTGCCCACTATCCAGGTGATAAATCTTCTGGTGATCAGCCAGTTTACTTGCTGGTTGCTTTTGAGTCCAGAATATAAGTTGGATGCTGCTTATAATTCCACACAGAATGATACTACAGGAGAATCTCCCAATTTCCTAATGTTTGGAAGATGGCCATTGTCAGTCACTGATTTATACTTCCAAATAAAACTCAAAGGACAAAATGAAGTCACCCACTAGGAAAACAGGAAATATTTAAAATGCAAACTAGATTATCCTTATGAGCTCAGCACCAGCTTACTTTAAAAGAAAAAAAAAAAGGAGATGGAATGCAAATATCATGAGGGCTACCACAGAACCAAGACACAGAGCCTTAGTTTGGAATGTGACTCCCCAGGGAACACAAAAAATAGAAAGAATTATTCTATAGAAGGGAGTCATATACATACTTCAGGACAATTTTTTTATTTTATTTATTTATTAAAACATTTCTATGCCGCCCCTTGCCAAGGCCTCGGGGCAGCTTACAACAATGAAGCTGTCTCATTATTTGGAGTCCAATATGAACATGGGGCAACCATCATTCAGACTTTGCACAGAGGTATGTGGAGGAATTTGTCTAAAGAAAGAAATAACATGACAGAAAAATCAAGAGTATCATGTTAGCGAAAGAATTTGGTGGAAAAGTATCAATGTAGTGGTCCAAATGAAGGATGAGCAGCACTGTACCCCCAGCTCTGTCATTCCATTAGAAGACAGGAGAGTTCACTACAGTTCATTTATCAAAAATCCATGTAGCTCAGAGCTCTTGTGATGATCTTCCCAGGGTGTTTCAACAAACAGAAGGAGCCCCAGAGACAGAACTGGGTCACAAAGGTCACTTGAAGCAGCCTGTTTTGCATCAAAGCATCCCTAGTTATTTCAGAAGAAATCAAAGTAGTACTTCATATTTTTGGTTTTTTTTATTATATTTATATCCCGCCTTTTTCCTACCAAGGAACTCAAGGCGACTTACATAATTCTTTTCTTCCTCCTCTCCATCTTCTCCTCACAACAACAACCATGTGAGGAAGTTGGGTTGAGATCCTGTTACTGGCCCAAAGTCACTGGAGAGCTCCATGACCAAGCAGGGAATAGAAACGAGATTGCCTGACCCTAACCTCTTAGTCTTAACCACTTTACCACAATGGCTTTCCAAAGGTGTTCAAGAGCTACAATCATGCCAGCTAAGTTCAGTGATTACATCCTGAGCTTTCCAATTTTACCACACATTACAAATTCTAAGCAGATATTAATTTATTGTAATTGTTGATTAGTCTTAACTAATTCCATAATTCTCAAAATTGTAGCATACTGTCCAGCTGACAGTAGCTTAGCAGAGGAAAATACAACCCTCATGAATTGGTTGGTTTGGTCATGCTGTGAGCAGAATTGGATCATGAGGAGTTGAAGATTATTCTATTGGGGAATTGAATACCATTCTGGAATTTATCACTCTGGATGAACTGAATTGGAGTATGGGAATAGTTAAGAGGTCTTGTTTGTCTATCTGGTATTATTTGTTGTTATAATTGCAAAGCCACATCTTTCAAAATGCAATTTATAAATTTGGCATTTTGCTGTTAGTACCTTGTTATCCTGGAATTCAGCTTGTTTGCAGAGGAGCAACTCTGAAATGTCCATCTTCTTAGTACATTACAAAATGTTTGAACTGGTTGACTACAAGGTTTGCAAGCAAACATTATCCAATTTTCTTTTGGGACTCAGGGACCACTGGCTGCAACTTTCTTCTTCTGTTTCCCTAGACATATAGATCTATGTGAGCAACTGCTATATTCTGTATCATTGAGATTTCAACTAGATCTTTGCAAATGTTTTTCTCAGTTAAGCCCCATAGTCTTGTTTATATGATGATGCATTCAATCCTCTCCTGCAGTCCATGTTTACCACAGCAGAAGGAACTAGACGTCAGATGTAGCATGCGGATTATGTGATCTCCTGGGATAGAAACCCTGCAGATCTCAGATTTCAAGATTAGGTACTACCTCTACCCATGTTATTTTTAGCCCCCAACAAGCCCAACATCATAGGAATGCCACTATATCAATATGAGTGCTATCCCATTACGAAGCCATGGTAACCTAATAGAACTTAAAGGTGAGCTGGTTCTTTAATGCTCAAAACACTAATTGGATCAAAGAGCTGTTGATACAGTAACTCTGTTCTTTAGCTCTTGGCTCTTCAAGCCTCTCACACACACTGTCTTACAGAACTGGGTTGCTAATCATGCCCAGAAAACTGGCTCTGCTCTTCCCCTCACCCTAAAGCTCCTAGCATGACATCTCACCTGGTGAAAGGTGCAAAGCCTGGGCATGTGCACAAACAGGAAAAGTTTGGGCTAACACCCAAGATGGCATGGATGCTCATGTGATCCACACCATATTACGACAATCTGTTATGGCAGAAAGTGTCCACTGTGGTATAATGGTTTAAGGTTCATTTCTGTCACCCTCCAGCCTACTTTGACATATTATTTAATACATAAATAATGCTCTTTTTATACAGATAAGATTACAATTTTACATACAATTATTATAATAAAATATCTAAGTCTCTGTAGGTCAAAAGTTGAGGAAATTAAGCATTAGAAAAATAAGTAATTTAACTCTACAGCAAAATATATTATATACATTTTCCATACTGGATTATAACTATATGCTTTCCACGACTGATTATTACAGTTTAAAAATTGACATAAATAAGGGCAAAGTCTGTGTCATTGTCTGCCACTTCACTTCTGTCCTTTCGAAGAAGCACACTGTAAATTGTCCCAGAAACATTATGGGGCTCCCTTCACTGAAGTTCCATATCTAGAAGATCCCGGAAGTTTTTGCTCATGTGTTGTGATTGGCTGGATACATATTCCTCAAGTTTTGCTCCCATTTGCTCATGAAGGCTCTTGGCAAGTTTAGAAACCACAGTTCTCACATTCCCACTCTTTCCAGGCAACACTCCATTGCCAATCATGTTGCTCAGGAAATACCAGAGAACAGGAAGGACGTGACGTTCCGTGACCTGGGGTTTCCGTGGATAGGCAACAGCCACCAGAACTGAAAAGAAAGAAGATGGGGGATCTCTATAAATCCAAACACTGTCTGAACGTAGTCACAGCACAGATTCACACGTGTGTTAGGATGGCAACCTGTTTCTCTACAAACAAGGGCATTTCAGAGGGTATCAGCCACAGCCACACAAGTTTCAAGACACAAGAAAGTGCCTTGAAACATGCACAGGGATCCAATACCAGGGTTTTTCTCATTTGCTAAGCAATGCAAGGATTCATTTAAGGGCTGGGGATGACGCACCTGCCACCAAAAACTCCCTGTGCAGACTTTATGAGCTTTTGATTGACATTTGAGATTTTGAACAGCAGCAAAAGCAGGGCCTGCTGGTATTGAATGCAAAGGGGTTTCTAAGGCAAGATGTAGTCCTCCTCTCCCATAGACCTACCTGGGCCCCAAGTTTGCCTTCAGCAGTCTTTCCTAAAAGCCCCTGCAACGGAGTTGGGTGGCGAGTAAGAAGTGAGCCTTTTCTGCTGCAGCACCCCAGCTGCGGAATGAGTTTCCTAGAGAGGCTTCCTGCCCCTTTTTCTGGGCCAGATGCAGGCCTTTTTATTTTCCCAGTTTTTCATTTCTGCTTTAAATCTGGCACTGTATCTTAAATCTTTACGTTGCTGTTAGGTCCTACACACACACACACACACACACACACACACACAGGTACTTACTTTTTATTTTTTACAGCATAGTTTTAAACTTTTACATTTTTATTTTGCAGATTATCATCTTGTATTTTATGTTTTTAATCTCTGTGAATCACCCAGAGAGCTTCAGCTATTGGATGATATAGAAGCGTAATAATTTAAGTAAGTAAATAAATAAATAAATAAAATGATTGCATTACTGCACTTGTTCTATTGCTTAACCCAGCATAAATTACCCTCTGTATTCTAGCAGCTAAAGCTGTGTGTATTATGGAATTTCCTAGCAGAGGGCACAGTATTAGGTGAGCCCAATATTGCAAATAACTTCTAACATCCAAGGATGCCTTCATTGTTAATTACATTGCAAGCATTCCCTAGATAAACACACTCATTTAAGTAAAGAAAAAGATTGACTAACTCACTACAGTGTACAATGAAAAACAAAATAAACTGCTGCTTACTTGAAACTAGGAGGGCTCCCAGGCATGGCTTTCATCATGCCATTGCCCTGCCCTTTCAATGGAATTGTATTGGTCAAGGGGAGGTGTTACATCACTATTTTCTGGTGTAAAACTGGGGTTTTGGGGGAAGTGCACCTCTTTCTCAGCAAGATCCTTGCCTTTTCAGGTTTTCCCCCTTTAGTTTCCACAGTGAAACACTTTTTTGACTTTGTTCCAAAGCGCCCACAGGCTTCAGTAAGGTCAAAAGTGCTTTGTCCTGGGCTCGATGGCCTTCTTGGCCCCTTCCAAACCTACTATTCCATGATTCCCCCCTCCATCTTTTTTTAAAAAAATTGGTGGCTATCAAAACTCAGGATCCCTTAAAAAGGGGGTTTTGAGTAGCAGAGGGGTGGTTTGGACTGGTACATAGTTTAGGCAGCTAGCTTGTGCAAGCCACAAAATAAAAATAAAAATAAAGGTGAGGGAGCCATAGTGAGCTGAAAATGGAAGTCAGGGAGGGGAGAACACCCTGATGCTTCCATGATGTCCCCTGGGATACCAACTGGAGGACTGAGGAGGAAGGGGGGCATTACCCAATCACTGTGGTCTTTGTCCAAAGCCCTCCTCCAAGTTCTTCGCCATAACGAAGTTGGGGAGCGGGGAGACTGCAAGGAAGAGGGCCTTTTCAATCATGGCTGCCGCTCTCTGGAATTCAGTCCCGCTGGTTTGGCACACACCCTTCTCTCTTTTAGGTGCCAACTTAAGACATTTTTATCCCTTTGCTATTTTGACAGGTGAATTATTGGTTGATTTTTAAGGCTGATTTTAAGATTTTATATTATTAAATGGTGCATTCTTACGATTTTATTAATGTTATGCTACATATTGATTAATTATGTTTTAACTGGTTTATGGATTCCCTTATAGGATATTTATTTTATTCATTGTTGTCATCTTGTTTTACTTAATTTTGTTGTCATTGTTTTGTTTTACACAATTTTGTAGTTTTACTTCTGGATTTTTTAAAATTGTTATTGGTTTTATTGTGGATTGTGGATTTTATTGTGCTGTATGTTGTGTTGTATCTTGTGGATTCTATTGTTTTGCGAACTACCCAGAAAGCCTATGGCTATTCTAAATAGAATAAATAAACAAACAAATAAATATGTGAAACTGGCTGTGGGCTGCATCAGAGTAAGGCAGCATGCAAAGCTTGCTACACGGTGTAGCTGATCCTTCTGTGCAAACCCACCACTTCCTCAAACAGTTTTTGAGCAGAGAGAATTCGTTGTGAGCCGCCCCGAGGCTTCGGTGAATGGGGCGGCATAGAAGTTCCCTAAATAAATAAGAAAGAAAGAAAGAAAGAAAGAAAGAAAGAAAGAAAGAAAGAAAGAAAGAAAAGGGCAAAATAGCAGCAAGTGGTCCCTCATTAGTTGTAGGTGACCTCTACCTGCAAGAACCCTAGGTTTACACATGGTATTTCCCTATTTTGGTTTTTATGTCCCTTACAAGGTAGGAATTGGCTGTTCCTTATGTTGTTGTCTGTCCAACGGTTGGTCACCTCCGTACTGAGCTCTCTAGATGGCCTTAAGCAAGCTACTGACTCTCGGCTTCAGCTAGAGTCTGCAATGGGGATAACAAGCCTTGCCACCTCACGGGGTTCTTGAAAGGAATATTGAAGTAAAGTATACGAAGTACTTGGAACACTAAAAACAATATAAAAGTACTAAATAATTTGTGTGGCATCCCGTGGGTATATTTTTCTAAGCTGCATTCATCAGACTGGCTACTTGCATCATGATTTCATTGATAATGTAACTGTGATCTGCTTTCCTATTTCATATGTTACATAAGGAGTATTTTGAAGAAATACAATTATTGATTCAACTAGCCAGAATAAATTTTACACCAACATTAATGTAGCTCTGAAATTCAGGGTCGTATCCATAAGTGCCATTCTTTCTGTTGCACAAGCAGGTGCCCATTCCATTTGCACAAACAGTTGTGCAAACAGCTATGCAATCACGTGCAAAAGAGTTATGCACAACTGCTTGCACAACTGCACTTTCGTAAATGTAACTTTTTTTGGATTCTCCTCTTGCACATACTTTGAACCCTTTTTTGTTTTGCTTTCTTTTTGCTAGTGTAGCCATCATTTCCACTAACAGAATGTCATGGCTGGCTACTGCCCTCAGAATCAAAACCACAAAAATCAACCTATTGATTTCAGAACCACTGTGTTCAAGCCATAGTACATTCTTGTCTAGTCCATACAGACTAGAACAGATGCTGTCTATAAATGTTCTCAGCAGCAGTAAAATGAAGCATCACTAAAATGAATAAGTGGACAAGAGCACAGTGCAATCATAATTCTATTATTCTTTCAGCACCATTTGTTTTTACTGCATAAAATATGGAGATATCTTTTCTTCTTCTTCTTCTTCTTCTTCATCATCATCATCATCATCATCATCATCATCATCTCTATCCTGCCTTTTTTCACTTGCAAGGAGCACAAGACTACACAGTTCTCTTCCTCCCTTCCATTTCATCATGTTGTGGTGAGGTACACTAGGCTGAGAGTCAGTACCCTGTCCAAAGTCACCCTGTGAGCTTCAGGGCTGAGTGGGGGTTAGAACCAGAGTCCCAGCCCCACACTCTAACCAATACACCACACTGACTTTCAATGATACATAGAGATAGATAGAGATAGTTAAATGCTTTTTGGTATGTATATATGTATGTATTTACTGGGGATAAATCTGACTGAATGGAAGAGCTGCTGATCTTAAATGGTTTTCATTCGTGAAATCAGAGGCTTCAGTACTACAATTGGAAAAATATAGCTTTTGTACGCTGTTGGGTTTTAGTGACTTATGCCGTGACAGATGGTCTGCTTATTTATTTCATGCACTGAGCTGTCTAAAATGGCCATATCAAATCCCCAGGCTCCAATTCTAAAGGGTACATTAGGGTCAAACTCCAGTGACACAGTGACTTTTCAGTGGTATCTGAAGAAAGTGTATTCTGTATCGCTCTGTATGGTCTGTGGTTCATGAAGATGGATAATAGCAGCTATTGAAGTCAAAAGGTGATTCAAAAAATGATCATGTATGATGGCAAATTCACTGAAACTTTTGATACTGAAAGAGCTGATTTCAGATTTGTGGGGTTAGGCTGTTCTGTGGGACACAATATTATCATTCCACACTCAGAACTAAATTCTAGTTTCAGAGTGCACTGAAATGTGGTCGCAGTTCCCATGTCCTTTATCCACTACGTTACAGCAGACTTCCTCAACTTGCTGCCCACCTGACATTTTAGTTCTTGGCAGGTATGACCATAAGCATTCAAGATGGAGCAAAGGAAGTCAAAAATCGCTGGGAGCACCACCAGTCTTGGGAAAGGCTGGGACAGAGAAAGTGTGCCAATTGGTTCTTGGGTTAAAAGTAAGGGCAAAAATATAACTCTCAGGATAATTTCTATATTGTGTAAATGGATAAAAGTAGCTTGGTTCAAATAAAAGAACCTTGGTCCAGTAACCTCTGGTTTATGCAACTTGATATCAGCGTTGTACCCACATGTTTGCCCTTTCCTTTTCTCACACTTTCCTGGAAAATGTCTGATTTTGAATTCTGCTCTGTTTTTGGAGCTTAAAAACAGTTTCCTGTTTCAGTTGTAATGGGAAAATATGGTTTAGCGTAACCCAGATGTATTACACTAACTGTGCAGAAAATAAAGGGGAGGGTGAGAGGGAGCGGGTTTAAACATCAGATTATATTTGTGACATGGTTACATTTGAACTACAGCAGGAAAAAATGTGATTCAGTCAAAATCTGTGAAAATAACCCCCCCCCATGCCTTGTTGCATTGTTTCTTCATCATGTTTACTCAGTGGCATATTTACTCATGTGAATTCTACGGGGCTCACTTCTCACTGGACATATGTTAAGTTCAAATTCCCCCTCCCCATCTCACAAATGCAGCATGAGACATTTTTTAAAAAACTTTTGGATCTTTGTTTGAAAAAAGCACCTTTAGGGGTTTTGAAAGGCATTTGTATCTATTTTGACAAAAAATAACAAGTCAAGACAAGCCATTTTGATGTAAGTGAAACAGCTTCAAAATTACCAGGGTCATTTTGAGCCAGCCCTCAACTGAATTAAGCCAGTGTGTTGTGAAAGGTCATGTTCAAACACCTAAACAGAAGCATGGGGTTCTCTTATGCCAACAGGTTATGGGGACTTCTGAAAGTATGCTGGCTCTTTTAGTTTGAAGGAGAAGGAGAAGGAGAAGGAGAAGGAGAAGGAGAAGGAGAAGGAGAAGGAGCCTTCACTTTGAAAATGGAAATGCGAAACTGGAACCCTTGCCTCCCAAGATTATCTGAGCCACTATTTTGATCATTTGGAGGAAACGGCTAACCATAGAAACAAAATGAGTCAGAAGGGGCCTCCTGGACCATCTAGTCTGGCCCCTGGGTCCAGCCAGCTCTGCCCATGTAATCCCCAACATGCGGCTGTCCAATCTTTCCTTGAAGGAATGTGAGTTGAGGGGAGATTTACCTGACAGTCTGTCGGTGATATCCTGCAAAGCTCGGCCACTGATAAAACGCACCCTGCTGGCAAAAGTTTGAAGCAGCAGAAGATTATCTGAAAGGCACAGAAATACTTTGTTTGGAAATTATTATAAACCAAAGAAGGTGGGGAGAATTCTCTGTAGCACATAAAGGATCATTTAAGTCTGCTGTTCCATTTAAACAGGAATTAAGAAGAGTTTTGTTTCACAGTATGTTAGGCATTGTACAGGCATCATGCACATCCATTCAGAAGGTTATCCTTGCACCTGAATATGTGAACCAAGTCTACCAAAAGGGACTGAATTTGTAGCAGCAGGAGATTATTAGAAGTTCTCCTGTATGATACTGGATCTTTGATGGTTCACTTGCACATGCAAATCCTGTTCTAGCCTGAGTGGTGAATTTTAGCATGCACCCTTTTTAGCATGCTGGCATATAAGTTATCCACCCACAGACTGGTATATTACTTCCATTGACTGGACCATGTATCTATTTCTGCAGTCCATTTGCCTTAAGGCAGGTCCCCCATTTTTCTACTTTGCAATAAAACCACATCATGGAATAGGCATTGTTTGAAACTATTTTAAAATTAATAATCAATGACTTGATGAATGATTTTTCTAGAAAAAAACAGAAATCTACACCTCTTGGGCTGTTGTAGCATTGTCTCAACCAATGTGCAATATGTATGAAATGCACAATACAGTACTCCAAACAAACAAGCAAAATAACTCCCAATGGAACATTTATATACATGTAAAATGTTAAGACGTATTTTATTATTCAGAATAGATAAGTGGAAGTGTTTCTTCACATATTGCATAGTTAAACCATGGAATTCATTTCCTCTAGAGGTAGTGATGGCCACCAAACTGGAAGGCTTAAAATGGGGATCAGAAATATTTGTGGTGGAAAAGACTATGAATAGCTACAATTAGGACCATTACTAGCTAGAGTGGTTGTATATAACCTCTAGTTTCAGAGGCCAATATTCCTCTATATACCATTTCTTTGGGAACACAAACAGGAAGGTGCTTGTGTCCTGTTCTTGGGACTCTCAGAAACAGCTTGTTGGTGACTATGTGAACAAAACACTGGACTAGATTCACCAGGGCTCCTCTCCTATCCTTATGGACTAGCTGGAGGCTACAATCAGAGAGAGAAGCCAGCTTGGCTAGTCACAATGCACTACAGGTGCCAGCCGTTGTGCAGTTCTGATGACACCAGAGAAACCAGTGAGACACAGTAACAAGTGCTGTGGCAGTCCCCTTGCGGGTGGAAGCAATACAAGTCGGAGTGGAAATGACCACTGAACAGCTGAGCAGTCTTAGTTCTCAGTGCACAGTCAGAGCAGCTCACAACCCCTGCAGATCTTATCTCCTCCAAGCAGTCTGAGAAGCAGTAGTACCACAAACATAATGCAGAAGGAGAGGGGGAAATCCCACAGCAGAGGAGAGCAGTTGTGGAATGTCTCTCCTGTCAAGCTTCATGTAAACCTCACAAGGGACATTCCTGTTTAAGCATGAGGCTTTACTCTGCACATGGGGAAAATGGAAAAGGAGCTCTCAGAGGGGCAAGAAATGGAAGGCAGTGTAGACTACACATTGGTAGTACCTATCAAAAGTAAATGCAAAATACAACCAGTGCAGACAAAACACCTAGTAAATGGAAATGGATGCCTATTCCAGTTGTGCCATGCAATCAACTGTTCAACCATCCATTCACAAATGCAGCCCTTTCGTTGGGAAGAAAAGTTGATCAAATGGTTCACACCAATTTTACAGAAATTTCCGGTTTTGTTGGTTGCAAAAAGCTCAAGACCAAAGGATACAAGATGTGCAGACAGCCGTCTCATCCTGAGTCAGTCCACTGGTGTGTTGAGCTAAGTATGGGTTACTCTGACCTGCACCAGCAGCTTTTCATGGTTGTTCAGGCCAAGCATTTTTACCACACTTTTCACCTAAGCAACTTCAATCAGATATGCCAGAGTGGGGACTTTACAACATGCAAACATGTGCTGTGCACCACTGAGTTGTGGCCATTCTGGCCACAGCACCATCTTGATTATTACTCTGGTGTGTCAAGATTGGGTAAGCAAGGACACACAAGCATGACCATTCACGGGGTTGCCTCAAGATGAACGAACCTCCCTCCCTCAGATATTTACCAAAGTCCTTGGCACATCTTTTGGAAGGCATTTTCTATTTGACCTGGCTTTTGACATCCAGGATTAAATTTTTAATCTGTGTGATGTTTTCAAAGGTGTTTTATTACACCTGATTCTACCGAATATATAGCATTCATGCTGTTTTTAAGTGGTGCCACATTCCAAGCCCTAAATAATCTAGACCAAGGGTATTTTGTTTGGTTTTTGAAAGAGTTTTTGGCCCTTTGCAGGGTATGCAGGCAAGAATCAACTACTGCAAAGCTGAGAAAACAGAGAACAGAAAATCTATTTTCTGTTTGACACACTGTTTTCTGATGGTGATGATGTGTGCACTGAGCCAGAAAACACTGTTATTTCAATGATGAATGAGAAGAATAACTGCTTGCTTCAGCGTGATGAACCGTTGCTTTGAAATGCTAATGTAAGAAGTAAGGGAGAAGTGCATGGTATTAATTATTGATGATCATTCCCTTATTAGTATCCATAAAGATTTTAGTTCACCTTTTAAAACAGCCTTTGAACATTCATTTTAAAGCAAGTACAGTACCTGTGTACTTCTTTCTTCTTTGTCATCCTGAGGCGTGCTGTGCATTTTGAAACATCTGCTGTCTATGAAAGCACCAAATAAGCAACTGATAGGAGTTTAACTTCAGAGGTGTTTCCAAAGCAGGTGAAGAAAAGGGATGGGTGATGTATAACAGCAAAACTTCCCTTCATCTGCCTCAACATGGTCTGATAAATGATAGATCAGTTACCAGATGAGAAGCTCCGCTTTTGAAAGAGAGTGGAAGGACCTCCTCCCTTTGGGGGCACATCATCATTTTATCTACATGAGCAACACGCATTTTGCAAGTGCAAACTTGATAGAGTATCCTAAAACGTATCACGAATGTTCATGATTGTTTTGAGCTCTCTTTAATGCAAGTACTGGAAGAGGTATGAGAGGTTCTCAATACCATAACATGACTTACAAACTTACACTTCATCTTAGAGATCTACATGGACCAGGGGTGCAGAACCAGTTTCAGCACAAGGATCACATTCTGTTTCAGAGATTCTTTTAGGAGCCATATTCCAATCGTTGGCATGGCCAAAGACAAAAGGGCAGGACCAAAATACCAAAAATATTTCCAAGTAAAGCTCCTGCTGCCAGTAACGAAGCCTTAGGAGAGGCATTTCCAGATTTTTGAATAAGGGAATGGCTGCACAAAAGCTGGGAAACTGCCAAACAATCTGTGGTTGAGTGAAAGGGGTATTGACTTCTGGGAAAGCTATGGCAAATCTAGACAGCATACTAAAAAGTAGAGACATCACTCTGCCAGCAAAAGTTTGTATAATCAAAGCTACGGTTTTCCCAGTTGCAATGTATGACTGTGAAAGCTGGACCATAAGGAAGGCTGAGCGCCGAAGGATTGAGGCCTTTGAATTGTGGTGCTAGAGAATACTCCCGAGAGTCCCTTGGACTGCAAAGAGATCAAACCAGTCAATCTCAAAGGAAATCAACCCTGACTGCTCTTTAGGTCAGATACTGAAGATGAAACTCAACTACTTTGGCCACCTAATGAGAAGGAAGAACTCACTGGAGAAGAGCCTAATGCTGGAAACGATTGACGGCAAAAGGAAATGGGGATGGCAGAGGATGAGGTGGCTGGATGGAGTCACTGGGGCAGTGGGTGTGAGCTTGGGTGGACTCCAAGGGATGGTGCAGGACAGGAAGGCCTGGAGGAATGTTGTCCATGGGGGTCATGATGGGTCGGGCACAACTTCGTGACTAACAACAAAGAGGAGGTGATCCTGAAGCAACTAACTTGTCTCCCAGGCCTGAGGTTCTGTTCTCTGGACACAGATGAACTTATGAACAAAGCACTAGATCAAGAATTCTATTAGATGTAACATTTTTTCTGCATAGGAAACACAATCCAGTAAAACAATGCATATGTATTGCTATGGTGTACAACTCTGGGTAGGAAAATGTATGTAGTGTATGGAACTCTTTAGGAGAAAAAAGAGAATAGGATATGATGGAGGTGTATAAAATTATGCATGATGGAGTAAGACTGGACAAGAAATGTTTTCCTTCCTCTTATATTACTAGAACTTGGGATCACTGCATTAAGCTGAGTGGTGGGAGATCCAGGACAGACAAAAGGAAGTGCTTTTTTTCACATGGCACATAATCAGTATGGGATTCCCCTGCACAAGGTGTAGCAATGGCCACCAATTTGGGATTAGACACATTTGTGGAGGATAAGGCTATCAATAACTCCTAATCATGATGGCTGTACATTGACTCCAGGATCAGAGACCACATGCCTCTGTGTCCCTGTTGCCAGGGAGTGTAAGTGGGAGGGTACTGTCACACACACATCATGCTTGTGGACTTTCTATAGGCATCTGGTTGTAGGAACAGAATGCTAAATTAGACAGGACTTCTGTCTGATTCAGCATGGGTCTTCTTATGTTCTTAATGTGCACAATGTGGTAGTATAATGAATTAAACTACACCTGTAAAAACAAATGTCATGAGCTTGCCAGCTCATCATTAATATCACAAGATCTGTCCTGAAAAATTCAGAATGTAGAATGTCCACTGGGTTTTTAATCCCAGTCAAGGAAGGGGGACAACTTCATTCTAAACTCAAGCAAATAGAACCTAAAAAGCTAAATGGTCCTGACCTGTACAAAATTTGATACAAATTCTTAAACTGAATTGGGAATTAAATTAGTCAGGACTATCTTTCTGTGTAAAGAAGTCACAAATGTCCATGGCCAAAGAACTGAAGAGTCTAGATCAGTGGTTTTCAACCGTCCATCTGTAGACTGGCGCTGGTCCACCAGAGGTTTCCTGTTGGTCCATGAGGGAGGCCGCATCCTGCTCACCTCAGACTGGCACAGGGGCTGGCTGT